GAACTGAGCCTCTGCTGCTTGACACCCAGGCAAACAGGGTCTGGAGGGGACCTCAAGCAATCTCCAACAGACCTGTACCAGCTGAGGGTCCTGACTGTTAGAAGGAAAACTATCAAACAGGAAGGACACCTACACCAAAACCCATCAGTACGTCACCATCATCAAAGACCAGAGGGCAGATTAAAACCACAAAGATGGGGAAAAAGCAGGGCAGAAAGCTGGAAATTCAAAAAATAGAGCGCATCTCCCCCGGCAAAGGAGCGCAGCTCATCGCCAGCAACGGATCAAAGGCTGGACGGAGAATGACTTTGACGAGATTGAGAGAAGACAGGCTTCAGTCCATCAAATTTTCTCAGAGCTAAAGGAGGAATTACATACCCAGCACAAAGAAACTAAAAATCTTGAAAAAAAGGAGGTGGAAGACTTGCATGGCTAGAAGTAACTTTAATGCAGGAGAAGGTCTAAACGAAATGGGAGACGAGAGATAAAACCATGACACGAGAATACGTGACAAAAATGCACAAGCTTCACGTAAGCCGGACCTCGATCAACTGGAAGAAAGAGTATCAGCAATTGAGGACTCAAAATGATGAAGATGAAGGCGAGAAGGAGAAGACCAAAAGAAAAAAGAGAAAAAGAACGATGAACAAAGCCTTGCACAAGAGTATTGGATTATGTAAACAAGACCAAATCCTACGTCTGATTGGGTGCCTGAAAGTGAGGGGAAAATGGAACCAAGTTGGAAAACACTCTTCAGGATATACTCCCAGAGAACACTTCCCCAACCTAGTAGGGGGCCAGTGCTTAACATTCAAAGTCCAGGAGTAATACAGAGAACGCCCACAAAGATTACTCCTCGAGAGAGTATTCTGTATAGGACTTGCCAGATTCACCAAAAGTGGAAATTGAAGGAAAATCTTAAGGGCAGCCAGAGAGAAAGGTCGGTTACCCACAAAGGGAGCGCCATCACGAGCTAACAGCAGATCTCTCGAGACAACTTCGCGAAGGCCAGAAGAGAGTGGCGCCAATATTA